AATAAGGGCCAGAGCCCCATACGCCCATGGGGGCCCATTGATTGTTGGGGGGGGAGGGGGAACAAATGATATGATGGTCCCCTGATTTGCCTTTGGAGGGGGGGAAGGGCATGTGCCTACCACAGCATCATGCATTACCAACATCACATATGCATATGCATTACTTTGAGTGCGTCAAAGTTGATAATACAGGGTGTCCCAGAAGTCTTGAAGCTTTTTTAATTTTGTCGTGTGACCTTGCTATGCCACCGATTAAGGCGAATCATGCCTCAAACGAAAGAGAAAGAACTGAAATTTTGTATTTTCATGCGTAGAGCACCACTTTAGTCAGGTGGCCCTCGTTGTGAGTCGCACAAGATTGAGCACGAGAGATCACGTTCTTCGCTGCCGCCAAGATCTCCCGGTTTGCGAAACACCGGTGTCGCCATGCCCGTTTCTTGTCAGCTTCAGAGTCTTATTCCCTGAAGCGAGCGACATAATATTAGCGACATATATTTCCGACGGGTTGATATTTGTTTCAACCCCATAATAATGCGACGAATCAAAGGATTACAACGGGCTGTTGCTTAGCGTGCTCAAGCAGCTGAGCCTTATTTCCGTAATGGATGCGTGCAAACATGTCAGGAGACTTTCTGATCAGTAAATCATTATGTTGCTAATGTTTTCTCGGAGATCCAATACTCTGTTTCCTGGCGGCTGGCTCGCTTCATGAAATGAGGCTCTGAAGCTGACCAGAAACGGGCATGGCGACACCGGTGTTTCGCAAACCGGGAGATCTTGGCGGCAGCGAAGAACGTGATCTCTCGTGCTCAATCTTGTGCGACTCACAACGGGAGCCACCTGACCAAAGTGGTGCTCTACGCATGAAAATACACAATTTCAGTTCTTTCTCTTTCGTTTGAGGCGTCATTTGCCTTAATCGGTGGCATAGCAAGGTCACACGACAAAAATAAAAAAGCTTCAAGACTTCTGGGACACCCTATACACCTTTTGTCAGTTTATTTCGGGGCGTAATCGTCCATTTTAGAACTAACGAAATGTGTGTAGACATACCGCAATATTATGTAAAAGAATCACATAATATCTCGGCGCAGGTCAGGCAGTCGGCGGTAAAGCATTCAATTTCGGCACAGCGGCAAAACGCTCCATTTTCAGCGATAGCTCAAGTAGAATCGGCTGCGCCAGCACAGGTTTAGAGGTAGCGCACGCTATTTAGCAACAGTAACAACCAAATTCGGCACTGTTCATTCAATTTCGGCGGGTAACCGGAGGCACCTTGGTGATTCATATTTTCAGGAACGCTTCTTGAGCATCAAATGAATCCTCATACAGCTTTGTGGCTTTGAGATATTCTCAGGGGGAGAAAAGCAGGCCATTGCTTGTTTAGCGTCACAGTACCTACCTAAGATCGTTTCGCTGTTTCCCGTTTCGAATTCTGATGTGAAAATTGATAAACTTTACTGAATTAGTACTATTTATCCTAAAAAGATAACATCTGTGGGCTGGTTTCTTTTTTTTATATTACAGTACCCGCTCCTGTCCGCACATGGCGGACGACGATCGACAAGGCAAACGCCAATCGTTGTTGGACTCGAAGCAAACCCCGATTCTCTTTCATTGAAGCACGTCTGTGCTGTTCTCACTGTGTGCCAAGTTTTTGCCCAAAACATGAACCCATTTTATCAAAAGACCTGTTATTTTACTTCACTTTGAAAGCAACCCATCACCTCGTCAATCAAACATAACACAATTAGCTCAGCCATCATACCAGAATAAGTCCTACCAATCGGTTATCGTTGCACTTCCTGTTATCATCTACATCATTAATGTTATCATCTACATGTATTAATCAACTGCCAGCGTGAAATATCAACATCCCTTACCTACAGCGTGCAGAAGGACACGAAAATGAATTAATCATTCCGTATCGTATCATCACGCCTCCCCTCACCCCACCCCACCCCCACGAACACCACCAGACCCAGAGGCTTAGCGCCAACATTCTAACCCGTCCCATGGACAAGACTCATAGTTGCGGCAGGTGTATTTTTCTGCCCCCCCCCCCCTCCCTGAGTATCTGACTGTCCATCCGGCGCTCGGCGCATCCTTTCAACAACCGCGCGACGACACCGGGCGACGGGCGTCTCTGGCGCATGGGCGGGGTCAAAGTTCAGTAGTCGCGTACCTACCCTGTCGGCCTGGTTTTGTTCTCCGCTAGCTTCGTTTTAAGCAGGTGCCTATGCACTTATGTTATTTGTACTTCCTTGATAGAAATTAATAGGCACATTGTAATGTTTTGTTTAACCCACAGAAAGCACGAACATGAAATCATGCTCATCGCTGGCGATGGCGAAAGGAATATTCGGCCATAACGGAGAGGGTGGAGGGCCGGAGGCATGCACTCAAGTCCAGACAATGAGACAGTGGCAACAGTAAACACCTTGAAAAACGTTTGACTTAATAACAATGCTCCAACAAGCTAATTTTGTAAGCAAGAAGTCTCTGCTTGCTTCCAAATAGCCACCGAAATTGAATGAATGTCGCCGAATTTGGTTGCTGCTGTTCTAAATATCGTGCGGCCAGGGGCGTCGTTTTGTATAGGCCTGGTAGGGCCTGAGCCTTACCAATGTTTATTTGGGCCCTACCAATGTTCGCTGAGCCCTACCAATCTTTTGTCACTTACCAGTTGATAAAAAATCAAAATAAACAGATAAGCAAATATTAAATAAGCACATATGCAAGTACATAAATAAGGTTCTAGCCACAGTAGGTGCATGTAGCTGACAATGAGGTTTCACGTGTCTAGGACTCCGGTCCTTAATGGATTTTAAGAGGCTCGAAACTGCAATTGGTTATAGAGGTCCATAACTGCCTCTGAGTCCCGCATACCACGCGACCGCCCCTAATAGACCCCGATCCGTCTCCACACCAGCCGCTGGAGGCCCTACACCGACTTCGGAAGGTGCCGCGGTGCTCCAGAATAGGCCATAGGTATATTGATTTGAGTGGGTGATGCAGCCTGATTCCCCAGGGTTCAACGCCAGGTCATTACCGCATCAGACCCCGAAAAAACTGAAGCTCGTAACTACGAGGGGCGTTCAAAAAGTTTCGGGCCGAACAATGAAGAAGTTGGAATTTTGGCCTGCAAGGCGGTGTGTTAAATGATGTGTTATTGGGATGTCCACTTACGCAAATTAAGTAAGTGGCCATTAATTAAGTCTCTTCTGTGATTGATTCGGGCTTCTATTCGTAGCATAGTTCGCCATTTCGGATAGGATGGGCGACGCCCAGAAGAGAGCAGTGATTCGTTTCATAGTAGTTAGTGCAGAAAAGGCACCAAGCGTTAACCCTCGCCCTGGGCATTTTTCATAACACGGCCTGGCAGGGGGGAGGGGTCGATGCGACCCCCCTCCGCTCGTCAACTTTCCAAAACAGGGGCACACAAATCACAATTGATGATGTGCGTCCATTCGATAAACATCGAGGAGAGGCTATAGGGAAGCTGACGTAAAGTGTGCACCTGATCCGCGACCACGCACCTGCGTACATGGGCGGGATGACGAACAGTGAAGCGATGAGCTTCGAGTTGTTGTCGCATCCACTTTTTTCTCTCCGAACCTTGCACACTCTGGTTGGTGGTTGCCACCTCTTCCCCAACATAAGAAAATTAGCAGCGGCAACCTCGCTAACAGCAGGGAGACGAAATCAGCCGTCTTGGACGTGCAGGATGGGTCCAAAACCCACTTGGTTATGGAGGCCTTGAGGGCTCTCGCGAAGCGCTGCGCGAAATGTGTTTGTCTTAACGGTGTTTATTTGAATAAATGAACTTTTTGGTCTAATGAGTCGATGCTGTATCTCTCTGCTCCTTCATGGTGGGGCCCGTGGCTTTCTGAACGCCCCTCGTACTGTCATCCTTTTATTTTGGCAAGCAGGTCTTTCTAACTATCGTTGTGTTTCCAGTCCTCGTTAGTTGTCGAACCCTTCAATTGGCGTGGGTCTTCAAAACCGTTCCTGGCCCCGCAGCCGTCTTTTTTAGTCGGCTTGGGCCCTCAAAGCTGTTCCTGTCCCCTTTCAGCACAGCCGTCCTTTTAAGTCGATGTGGGCCTCTTTCAGAATGGCGTGCATTCCTCCGACACTATTGCCTATATAACTGCACGTTTTGTGCATGGCGTCCGGTGTGGACCCAGATTTCCAAAGTTTTTTTTTGTGTTTTTCTAGATTTCGGTTAGTCTTGTCAATGACCAGGGCGAAAAATAAGTGGCCGAAATCCGATGAGAAAGGCAGATTTGGGGGTACCCTACCTTGTAAGCCCCGTCATATATGGCCAGCCGCCGCCTTTGGGCACTACCAATCATTTTCGGAAAACGACACCCCTGCGTGCGGCCGTCTCCAATCTCCAGCAGCATCGCCGAAATACAATGCGGACACGCCGAAACCGGGCGTCTTTTGCTGCTGCGCCGAAATTAAATGCTCTAATGCCGATCACCGCTATAAACGGCCGACATGCAATGCTATACTGATACATAGCTTTGCGGTATGTCTACAAAGAATCCGCTAGGTCTAAAATGGACGCGCACGTACCGAAATAAACTGACAAAAGGTGTAGATGCACCGGCCACGGCAAACCCATGCCTTTATCCTTTCCTTCCAAGCAGTCAGGTTACGGGCCGCCAGGCCCGCCACCGCGATATGACAGCGGGCCGGCTGGAATGCGTCATTTGCCTGCGGCAGCGCCCAGCTGCGCCGGGGCTGTTTGACAGGTCACCCATACCGTGACCTCGCCCCTCCCCACCTCCCCAGCTCGGTACTGACCACCCCTTCACTTTGACATGGACTCGACTAAGGCTCAACGCCATCTAGTTACGTCTGGAGATATTTACTAGATCCACTGTACCTACTGCGTCGACTGTACCTGTTTCTCCACTGTCCCCCTGGCGTCTCCACTCCGTGCCCATCAGTATCACCCCGGCTGTCCTCCAGTGTACCTGCCATCTGCTCACCTGGTCGACCAGAGGCTGTAGCAGCACGTGGAAACGCTCGCTGTTGAGGAAGCCCTCTGTGTCGTGCTGGCACACCTTGGTGAGCGTGTCCAGGGCGTACTCGGCCAGTTCGCAAGAGCTCTCCTCGTCACCTGGGTAGCAGCCAGCCAGTCAGTCACCAGTCGAGCGCGTCACTGCCGGCCGCCTATGCCCTGACGTGACAAACCTCTAACATCTTCTAGCCATGACATGTAAAAAACACGTATTTTGACAGGAAATCGACTTCGGTAGAAGCAGTGACTGACGCTATGGCACTTATGTCAGATAATGTTCGTGCAAAACGCCCAATCAGGCACATCAAGCTCAGTTTTGGTTCACTTGCTTAACCCGCGCCCCGCTGGGGGGTCCTGGATTTCCACGCCCTGCTGGGGGGGGGGGGGGAGTGCTTGAACACCCCCTTCTAACTTGACTCCTAGGATACATAGCGATACGGGAAAGGCGGCGTTTGAAAGAACGTCAACAATAATGACGAAGTTACTTCGGTCATTTTTTCGGTCACGTCAAAGGTCGTACCAGAGGTAACTGATGGCCGAATTTCGTCAATTTTCAGGTCAAATGTCGACAATTTTCAACAAGTCGACGCATAACTCAGAAACTGAAGTAAATATTACATTTATCTTCTCCGACTACGCCGGTAGTCTCCACTGCTACTGGAGTGAAGATGTAGCGGTGTGCGAGACTGGCGCAGCGCATGCGCTTCAGGGTCTCGGCGACGGCTGCAGCTGCGCCGGGATCCACCGCACACTTCACCACGTGTGACTCAGCAAACGTGTCAACGCACGTGGCGTCCCATCATAGGCGTAGGAACGTTTTCGAAAAAGGGGGAGGGGCAGGCTCCCAGAGGTCCAAAACCTAACCTACCCCCCCCCCCCCCCCAAATCCAATTTCTCCTCGGATTTCGGCCACTTTGTTTTCGCAAACATGCTCAGAGCTAAAAACAAAATCGAGACAAAAGAAAAATGTTAAATTTTCAGGGAGACCCCCCGTCCAGAAACTCAAACTGATGGACTTGTTCCCCTGTCCTCCGCAGCCGTAAGCACCCATGCAAATTCCAGAGGCATCCAGCAACTTTTTCATTACGAGCGAGCGTAAAACGTGCAAAGCGAGTCTTTTCAATATGCCTATAAAAATCAGCATGAACGGCCCAGCTAGGCTCAGCCGGGCCTGCAACGTTTTTAAGAGGTTTTATATCAGCGACCACTGCAACTGGGCTGATTGACTATCAGAGGCCGGTGTGGGACTTTTAGAGGCCGGTCTGGGCCCTCAAAGGCAGTTAACCCTCGCCGGAGTCGGACTATAAATTTTCTACATACGCGCCGGCCGAGGGGGGGGGGGGGCGTACGACCCCTCCTCGCCGTTTCGCGTCCCAGGTAGAGCTAGCGCGTCGCGGAAAAAACGAGCGCGTGCGCCGTTACGAGACGCACAGATCGATACCCGATTTTAAGGTCCTAGGTCAACCGGTGACCTCTGAGGTCAGGTCAAGTGCCCCAAGGTACGGTTCCGTTTTTGGTGAATAACTTCGCAAAAAAACGGCCGCAGAGCCACGACTACCATAAAAACCGTCAAAGTACCGGCATACTAAAAACCTGCATTCTTGATTCTAGCTTACCCCTAATAGAGATGCCACATTTTGGCAATTTCAGTACCCACCCTACCGCAACAGCCACCCATTGTCCAACGACATCTAGCAGCAGGCCGATTTTGACTGAGTTGGCCCCCAAATGGGTGAGCCACACCCTTTCAGCGATTGCCAATTTAAGCGACTGAATCTTTTGAGCGAGTGACAATTCGGCGCAATCAATAACAGCAATCATCACATATAACGAGCACCAGAATCAGCGAAGCCAATTTGAACGAATATATTGAGGTCAATGAAGGACCAAGTGATCAACTGCAGTTACTACAGCAAAACCAAGCTAAACGATATTTTTTTTATACAATTCCCGGAAACTTTCCCCTCGAGAAATGTGTCTCATAAATAAATGTCTGCGTTCTGGGTAGTTAGTTCTTTCTATCACATGAGCGAAACCTTTTCAGCGATTATCCTTTTAAGCTTATTTTCTTAACCTTCGCCTCAGTGGGGGGGCATATGTTACCACCCTGTCGCGTTTTTTTTTTTGCGTGTGAATAAAAAACCGCGGCGCGTAGCGCCGCGCCGCTTGGGGTTACTTTTGGTACATCAATTTTGGACAATGTGTGAAATTTTTGACCCCAGGTCATGTCAGGTCAGGTCACCAGGTCAAGTTAACTGACCAAGCCTTAAAAAAAGTTTGCAATCATGTCCAGTCTGCAGTGTTTGTCAGAAAGGTTTTAAACTTGGTGGATTGCATGCTGTTATGGGCGCCTACAATTTGTATATCTCGGAATTTCTATATCCGTGACCTAAGGTCAGGTCAATGGCGTGACCTTTCCATTACATTACAAGTCAATGGAGAAAAATGAAAATGCCTCTAGATCCGTGTGTACGCATAGGAACAGTCCAAATATTTCAGAATCACAATGATTTAGTCCACTCGTGATGACCAAGGTGTCATTTTTACTGATAGCCTCTAGAAAGGTCATCCGAGGTCATTTGAGGCTACAAACAGTTTTTTTTGCCAATAACTCGCGATTGGAAAGAGATAGAACGCTGGGGATGGTCTCATTGTGTTTGTCTTGTTGAGACGCATCGACTGATATGCAACATGACCTTTTCCGGTCAGGTCATTACCTTGACCTGAGGTCAAATTTTCAAGTTGACCTTTTAAGGTCAAATTATAGTTCATTCGACGCGTCTCGGTGAGGGGAACACGATCCTGGCAATAAAAATGTCGTGGCTTTTTGAAGTCCAAAGTTATTGTCGAAAAACACTTTTCGTAAAAACAGCTATTTTTGGAGTTTTTGCCCTCTGGAGGCTAAACCGTTGACCTGAGGTCAATATTGATAATGACCTTTTCAAAAGAAGAGTTCAAAAGCTATCGATTGCTTTTCCATGCGTTTTTCTAGCTACCATAGTTCCTGAGATAGCGGCATGTTTTCTGAAAAATATGATGACAATTGGCAAATTTTGACCTTTGATGACCTCTAGTGACCCCAATATTGCTCTAAGGTGAAAAATGACCGAAACACTTTCAAACGTACGCATTGAGAGCTATCGACTGTTTTTTACCGCGTCTTTCTAGCTCTCTTAGTTTTTGAGTTAGAGGTGGGTGGTAACATATGCCCCCCCCCCCCATTAGGGCGAAGTTGGCTGAGACCGCCACTGGGGCGCGGGTTAAGTCAAATTATCTAGACACATCTAGGCAATGAAAAAAAATAAATAAAAGGCAGCTTGCTTCGGAACTGGATTCGAATCCGGACCACCGCACAGTGGGGATTTTTCCGATCTAGCGCGTCTTAATTCCAAAAATCTTTTTTGATTTTTGTTTATTTTTTGTGTCAGTGGGGCTAAGAAATGTCTGCATTTTTCATATATGGTATTGTTTTATCTTATGTCCACAGCAAGACTAGGAAAAATGCGCCCAAAGTTCACACTCATGCGTGATTACTCAATGGGCTCAGTAAGGCAAGAAAGTATAGCTCAATTTCATTGTCCTGTCCTGTTGGTTTTATTCTTGCGAGGTCTTAAAGTTGCATATCTTCTGAAAGGCACCTTTATTAGGAATGGAATGGCAAACAGAAGGTATGCCACAACCTTGCTAAGGTCACAAAAAGCCATTTACAAAAAAAAAAAATAACTTACAGACACCATATTGAAGGAATGGCATTCTATATAAATGTAGGAAATCAACAATGTTTTCCCCACATTTCCACTCCGAAACATATCCTATTGACTTCGCCACTTTCTCCTGCACAAGACAACGCCTAGTTTGGCTGCCGGAACTTGCCTGAACACGGAATATTCTCATTAGAGTATCTTAATACCCCACTCTAGGAGCGCTAGGGCAAACAGCACGATATAGGTATGTTCCGGACATAGACGAATAATTTTACTTCGTGATTTATATGATGCATATTTTCTGAGACACATTCATTAGGAATAGGATGACAAGCGTACATTATACATACCGTAACCTTATTAACCCTCGCACTTGTGGGGAGAAGGAGGGGGAAGGGGTCATATAAAACCCCATGGTTTTTGGCAAATTAAAAGCGGCCGATCGCGACGAAACTTTCGGTGCTCTTGATTTAATGAATTTTATATCTAACCTAAAATTTCATGACTCTGACCCAACTGACCTTTGACATATTTCTCGAGACCATGTTTGGCCGGAATCGCGATTAGGCGTATGCCAGCTCACATTATCCGCGGTTTCCAGTCTTTTTGTGGTTTTAAGCGTTCAAATATGTGAAATGATGTTGGTGCCAAACATTATGGTGGGTGTCAAGGTCACGTGAAGGTCAAGTCAATGACCTTTGATGACCTTGGTTCACTTTTTCAAGTTTTACTTGTTACTAGGGTAGTTTTTGGTGCTGATTTTGAATTTAGCAACCATTTGAATATTTACGAAGTAGTTCTGGTGCCTTCGTAACATGTTACGAAGCTATCAGTAGTAGGTGACACCTACTATGGATGGCCGGCAGGACGCCTACTGGTCGATCTGACCTGACCTGACCCGACCTGGCCTAAATGCATAAAGACATCGTCTGTGATCAAAACTAACATGAAATTCGTGATCAGCAGCCCAAAATACCCCGTAACACCCTAACTTTACGAAATTTCAAGAGGTCTGGATTTCCCAACTTGTGTTGGGTCAGTAAACTGACTTGGAAAGTCAACTAATGACCTTGGACTTTGAAATTGGATATATTCGGCCTCATCTCGTCATAGGCAGCACGCTTGATTTTTCCGCGAAGCTCTAGCTAAATCAGGGGCCATACGGCTGAGACGGGGGTCCAATTGAACCCCCTATACTATGTTGATTATGCACATTTACAGGTAACATTCTCACCAGAACACACCAGCCAATATCTGTGCACAATCTGGCTACAATACTACCTATGGTTTGCCCTCTACGAATAAAGACGTGCTAGATCGGAAAAATCCCCACTGTGCACCGGTAAGGTGTTTCCATTTGCAGTCTAAGCTCTTATGAGGCACTGATCGGATCAGTGATGCCCATTGAAATAGGGTCTATGTCTAGCGCCAGAGCGACTGGGCCGCGGCAGCTCTCCCTTCCTTATACAGCTGCGGCTGCCCTAAGCCGCCGACCGACAATCAGCTCTGCTTATAAGCAGCCGGTCCGGCCACGTCCGGCCGTGCTACAACTGGCACCTGGCAGTAGCGGTCGCTCCGAGAGACTGGAGGCGCCGCTGAGCGCGGCTGCCAGCGGCCGCACCAGGTGTCCGGCGAACAGCACGAAGAGACCCTGCAGCCGGCCGGCCAGTGCGTCCGTCAGCCTGCCGGTCACAGAGCCGCTGTCAGCCGCACCACCACCACCATACATACATACAGACAGACAGACAAACAGCAGACAAGCACCCCTGCCTCCCCAGTGAACCTCTGGCGCCGCCCACCGCTAGTACAGTCGTGTACAGGTTGATGGTCCCCTACTCTTTATCCACTGGGTTCCTATGGCTCAGCATTGGCAGCAGCCGCCTGGTACCGGTAGGCTGTGCCGCATGACCCGAGAGTGAAGCGGCACAGTCTACCCACGCCGTTTGACATCGGCTCGGGTCGCCGGGTGGAGCGCTTTGTAGACCAGCTGTCGCGTCAGACCAGCGCGGGGGGAGGGGCTCGTCTCGGTGGTTGGCGTGGGCTGGCGAGTGGTGTGGGGCGTGTTGGTGGACCATGGGGGCTGGGCGGGTGTGTGTGATCACTTGCTGCATTGCACATTTTGCGTCGCTTGACAATTGCATTCCTGTTTTTGCTAAGCACAATGCACGGAAGACCCAGCGAATATAATTTACTTGTGCATTGTGCAAAACGTGATTTGGCACGGTATCGAGGCAACCATAGGTCTTGTGCCACATATATGCATGATATTTAGGCAATAGGCTTATGAAAATGGTAGATTGATCGGATTGATCCTGGATGTTAATTCGTATGCTAAATGTCGACATGTATTAAATGAACGAATGAATGAATGAATGAATCAATCAATCAATCGACAATCGACATGTAGATATAAAACCGTATAAATGGCTCGCAACCACTAAAAGCAAACCAGATCCTAACTCGGAAAAGTAGCCGGAGCTCCGATGAGGCTCGAACCAGGACTCCACGTTGAAAGTTTTGCCAACGATCCATCATCATTCCACCAAGCTAGAGCGACCGGCACCCGAAACCACAAAAACATTCATTGACTTTGCTGCCGACCTCCCGGCCCCGCCGCCCGCCCGGCCAGACTTTGCCCCGGCCCAATCCGCGATTCGGTGTAGCTCAGCGTAGGAGTGCTGTTGTTGTTGTTGTTGTTGTTGTTCCTCCCGGTCACCGCCGAGGCGGTGACGGAGCCACGCGGCTCTTGTGGGCCGCGTAGCCGGCGGCCAAGGCCGCCACCACGTCGTCGCGCTGTACGTCTCGGGCCGTGCCTGTGATGTTACCCAGCGCTTGGAGGCGGGGGCCGAACAGGCACGGGCACTCCAGTAGTACGTGCGCCGGGGTGTCCGCGGCCTCGCCACAGACGAGACATCGGCCCGCCGGGCATGTGATGTCGTTGCACTGAGCGCACTCGGGTGTCGGTCTGCGCCCAATGCGGTGGAGATATTGTTCCGACCGTCCCCAGTGTCCCGATCGGAGTTGGTGTACGTCGATGGCCTCCTCCCTGGTAGCGGCTCGGACCGGGTCGGGGGCGCGGTCCGCCATGACGTCTCGGTACCAGCCCGCAGGCCGGCTCGCTCGCCACTCCCTGCCGGCGGCCCGCGCAGCAGCCCGCGTGAGGGTGCGGGCGTCGACCGGCGTCGTCCGCTGGGACATCCCGGCCGCCTCCTTCGCTAATGCGTCCGCCCTCTCATTACCCGGGAGCCCGCAGTGAGCCGGAACCCATTGGAGGTGAATTGAGCTGTGGCTTGCTTGTAGGCGCAGCAGTTGGGTCCACACACTGGCACCCAGTGTTGTGGTCTGGGCCGAGGCGCCTGCAGCCAGCGTTAGCAGGGCCGCCCTGGAGTCCAGGCAGACGACCACCGGCAGGCCCGCGCTTCTCGGCAGCTCAGCGACTGCCTCCAGCGCTGCCAGCAGCGCGGCGAGCTCTGCGCGCGTGCTGGAGCACAGGCGGCCAGCAGGGACCCTCAGCTCCCAGTCATCTTCGGTTGGGGTGCGGATCAGGGCGCCGCCCCCGCCATTGGCGACGCCGTCCTCCGCCGATCCGTCCGACCATATCCAGACGGCTTCCTCAGGTAGCTCCCGGATACGCTCTTCAGCTGCGGCACGCCGAACGTCTTCCGGGGCCGCACGTCTGGCCCGCGGGCCGAGGTCCAGATGGAAGTGGACGGTAGAATTGTCGGCCCACGGTGGCAGGGTGTGGTGGAGGCGGGCCTCGACGGGTATGTCTCGCGCGTCGGCCGCCGCGAGCGCGGCGGCGCCCACCTCGCGCCATCCTGTGGTCTTGAGTCGTCGAGGGACGACCGCCTCCCCGACCGACCTCAGCGGGTCTCCCTCGGGGAGGGACGCCGCGAGTCCCACCATTCTCGCTGCCAGTGCCTGTCTCCTGGACCAGGCATCTGTCATGCCGGCCTCGGACATCAGGGCGTGCACCGGAGTAGATGCCGTGCATCCGGTCACTGCCCGCGCGGCCGCGCGCAGCTCCCGATCGATCAGCTCGACGTGCGAGGGCGATGCCGCCGGCAGCCACGCAGCCGCGGCGTACTCCAGCGCACCGCGGACGTAGCCGTTGGCGACGGTTCGTAGTTGTTGTTCGCCGAGGCCCCACGATCGGCCGGTCAGCTTCTTCAGCTGGGCGGTCCTTGGTCTGACCCTGCGGCGGAGGTCGGTGCAGTGTGGTCCAAAATGGAGGAGGCGGTCGAGGGTCACGCCGAGGAGGCGGAGCTGGGAGCCCGCCTTCACTGACACTCCAGCGACCTTCACGGTCAGCTCACCGGCGTCCCTGGCCCATTGTGAGAGAACAATGGCCTGGGTCTTTTCACCCGCCACCCTCATCTTCCAGCGGTCCGCCCAGGCGGCGATAATGTCCGCCGACTTCTGTGCCCTTTCCTTTGCCAGGGCAATAGAGCTCCCACCGCTGAGGGTTGCGGTGTCGTCCGCGTACATGTACGTCGTGGTGTGTGGCACTCGTCGCAGCTCCAAGATGAGGTCGGCAGCCCACAGCGTGTACAGAGTCGGGGCCAGGACGCTGCCCTGCGGGAGACCGGCCCTGAAGACTCGTTCAGCACTCCGGGCGCCGTTCACCTCCACAGACGCCCGGCGGTCGCGCAGGAATGCCCAGATCCAGCGAACCAGACAGGCAGGTAGGCCCAGCCGCAGGAGCTTCAGCTTGAGCATACGATGGTCGATGACGTCATAGGCGCGGCTAAAATCGTAGGCCATGAGGACGAATTTCTCGGCCGTGACGCCATCGATCGGTCTTCCACGCGGCTTGGCCTTATTCCAGCCATCCTGCACTGTCTGGATCAGCCTTCCCAAATTCTCTTCTGCGGAGCGACCCCTCCTGAAGCCGACCTGTTCCGCAGGGACCATATCGTCTCTCTCTGCCAGGTGAGTCAGGCGAGCGGCTACCATCCTCTCGGCCAGCTTCGCCAGGTGAGACGTTAGCGCGATCGGTCGGTAGCTCGAAGTCAGCTTGGGGTCTTTCCCGGCTTTGGGGATCGGCACGATGACGGCTCTTCGCCAGTCTGCCGGGACCTCCCCCCTCAGCCAGGACTGATTGATGAGGCGCAGGAGCAGGGCCTTGGCGGTGGGGCCGAGGTGCTTCAGGTGCTCCGCGCAGATGTTGTCTGGTCCTGGAGCCTTCTTGTTGCGCAGCTTCCGCAGCTGGATATCCATCTCTGTTGTGGAAAAAGGTCCGCAGCAGCTGGCGTCCTCTCTTTCCCCCGCGCAGGCAGTGCACGGGGGGCGGCTGCGTTGAATCAGTTCATGTTTTACCTTGCGGTCTAACTTCCTCGACCGGACTTGCCGGCTGACCCGTGAGTAGGTTCGCGCGAAGGAGGTCGCCTTCTCAAGGTCCTCCACGGCAAGGCCATGGTCCCCTTGGAGAGCGTGGCCGGGGCAAGCCTGCACCGACCCCTCCATCTTGCGCAGCACCTTGGTCACCAGGCCGATGCTGGTCGGCTTGTTCAGCGTTGTTGTGGCAAAGTCGCGGAAGCTGCGCGTCTTGGCTTTGTCTTCAGTGATGGCGGCATGGCGCTTAGCCGTCAGCCACCGTTCCCTCGCCTCCCGGGAACGATCCGTTCGCATGGCGTCTCTCGCCTCCCGGCGCTTCGCCACGGCCCGCACGAGTTCCGGGTCCAGGGCCCACGGTTTTGGGTCGGCTCGCGCGCCCCGCGGGATCATCTCCACACTGTGAGCTAACAGCGTCTGGCTAAACACTGCCAGGAGTTGCTCGGTGGTGGCGCCCGGCGGGGGTGAGCTCGTCTCGAGTGTCCGCTCGATGCCGTCGCGGAATCCGACCCAGTCCGCCTTGTGGAAGGCCCACTTCGTTTTCCGGATGCGCCGCGGCCGGCCGCCGTGGCACACGACCTCGACGAGTTGCGGTAGGTGGTCACTGCCGAGGTCATCCCCGATAGACCACGCACACCTCCACAGCTCACCGGCGTCCCTGGCCCATTGTGAGAGAACAATGGCCTGGGTCTTTTCACCCGCCACCCTCATCTTCCAGCGGTCCGCCCAGGCGGCGATAATGTCCGCCGACTTCTGTGCCCTTTCCTTTGCCAGGGCAATAGAGCTCCCACCGCTGAGGGTTGCGGTGTCGTCCGCGTACATGTACGTCGTGGTGTGTGGCACTCGTCGCAGCTCCAAGATGAGGTCGGCAGCCCACAGCGTGTACAGAGTCGGGGCCAGGACGCTGCCCTGCGGGAGACCGGCCCTGAAGACTCGTTCAGCACTCCGGGCGCCGTTCACCTCCACAGACGCCCGGCGGTCGCGCAGGAATGCCCAGATCCAGCGAACCAGACAGGCAGGTAGGCCCAGCCGCAGGAGCTTCAGCTTGAGCATACGATGGTCGATGACGTCATAGGCGCGGCTAAAATCGTAGGCCATGAGGACGAATTTCTCGGCCGTGACGCCATCGATCGGTCTTCCACGCGGCTTGGCCTTATTCCAGCCATCCTGCACTGTCTGGATCAGCCTTCCCAAATTCTCTTCTGCGGAGCGACCCCTCCTGAAGCCGACCTGTTCCGCAGGGACCATATCGTCTCTCTCTGCCAGGTGAGTCAGGCGAGCGGCTACCATCCTCTCGGCCAGCTTCGCCAGGTGAGACGTTAGCGCGATCGGTCGGTAGCTCGAAGTCAGCTTGGGGTCTTTCCCGGCTTTGGGGATCGGCACGATGACGGCTCTTCGCCAGTCTGCCGGGACCTCCCCCCTCAGCCAGGACTGATTGATGAGGCGCAGGAGCAGGGCCTTGGCGGTGGGGCCGAGGTGCTTCAGGTGCTCCGCGCAGATGTTGTCTGGTCCTGGAGCCTTCTTGTTGCGCAGCTTCCGCAGCTGGATATCCATCTCTGTTGTGGAAAAAGGTCCGCAGCAGCTGGCGTCCTCTCTTTCCCCCGCGCAGGCAGTGCACGGGGGGCGGCTGCGTTGAATCAGTTCATGTTTTACCTTGCGGTCTAACTTCCTCGACCGGACTTGCCGGCTGACCCGTGAGTAGGTTCGCGCGAAGGAGGTCGCCTTCTCAAGGTCCTCCACGGCAAGGCCATGGTCCCCTTGGAGAGCGTGGCCGGGGCAAGCCTGCACCGACCCCTCCATCTTGCGCAGCACCTTGGTCACCAGGCCGATGCTGGTCGGCTTGTTCAGCGTTGTTGTGGCAAAGTCGCGGAAGCTGCGCGTCTTGGCTTTGTCTTCAGTGATGGCGGCATGGCGCTTAGCCGTCAGCCACCGTTCCCTCGCCTCCCGGGAACGATCCGTTCGCATGGCGTCTCTCGCCTCCCGGCGCTTCGCCACGGCCCGCACGAGTTCCGGGTCCAGGGCCCACGGTTTTGGGTCGGCTCGCGCGCCCCGCGGGATCATCTCCACACTGTGAGCTAACAGCGTCTGGCTAAACACTGCCAGGAGTTGCTCGGTGGTGGCGCCCGGCGGGGGTGAGCTCGTCTCGAGTGTCCGCTCGATGCCGTCGCGGAATCCGACCCAGTCCGCCTTGTGGAAGGCCCACTTCGTTTTCCGGATGCGCCGCGGCCGGCCGCCGTGGCACACGACCTCGACGAGTTGCGGTAGGTGGTCACTGCCGAGGTCATCCCCGATAGACCACGCACACCTCCTCGCAAGGCCGCGCGTGCAGACGGTGACGTCTGGGGCTCCGGTGTTCCCCCTGTAGTCGGCGTGGGTCGGAGCGCCAGAGTTGAGGACAGACCAGTCCCCGGCCTCGCACCAGGCGGCCAGGCGGCGGCCGACGTCATCCGCGTCGTCACACTGGTGGTCCCACATCGGGTGATGCGCGTTGAAATCCCCGGTGATAATGCAGTCTGAAGTGGGTCTGAGAGTGAGGGCGAACCTGTCCTCCCTCTCGTCGCTTTCGCCCGTACGGATGGGTGGCCTGTATATGTTATGGATGTCGATGGTAGACGGTTGACTAGAATGTTGACTAGGTGGGAGGAGCAGTCGGGCACCACACCACTCTGTGCTGTCGTCGGAGGCGTCGAGTGGGCGGTCCTCAAGTTTGGTGAAGCTGAGTCCGTCCCGGATGTATATCACAACGTCCCCTCCTTTCACAGGGCCGTCTGTTCTACGCCCTCGCACTCGACGGGCGACCGAGGCGATCTGGAAACCAGGGAGGGCGATGTTTTTCTTCGCCGGCAGCTGGGCCTCCTGGATCACCGCCACGTCTACCTTGTTGTCCGACAGCCAACGTTGAACCTCCAGCGTTTTCTTCCGGAGACCCTCCGCGTTCCAGCTCAGTATGAGCAGGCGGCTTCGGACACGGCAGTTCCTTCTGTAGCGGCGATTCTTCTTAGCCCTCCTACTGCGGCGACCTCCCCCGCTCCGGCCGCCCGTGACCCCGCCGCCCGTGTCGGCGACGGGGGGCGCCAGGCTATTCATTCAGCGCGGGCCGGGTCCGCTGCGGGGGACCGTCCATCGGCCCCCCTGGCGCGGCACCCGGTCCCGCTGGTGGGCATCCGCTGCCCCGGGCGATTGAATGGTGAAGATGATACGTGGTGATGATGCTGCGCGGCGACGTGGTGGCGCGTCGGCCACCGGCGACCGGCCCCCGAGGAGGCGGTCCGGGTCCCGTTTGGTTTCCCCGGGCGCTCTCCACGCCCGGGGCGGGGGGGGGGGGCTCCCCCACACCGTCCACCTCCAGAAGGCGGGACCCATCCAGACGGCGCGTAGGAGTGCTCGACTGTCAAGCTGACCGGTAGTGAGAGGCCCGGTTCGATACGCTTCGCGTGCTGGATGTTTATTTCTGTGTCCCAGGCTATGCGATTAGTCCACTTTTCAGAAAGATTATTTGGTGACAGGTTTGTTTTCTTTCTTTGCTGCAATTCATGAGGAGACCGTATGGACCCTTACCTGTCCTTCCGCACCCCACTTGGGAGATGGGTGTTTGAACCCCCCTGGGTTTTGTGAATATCTCTAAAGCGAATTTTTGGAGGGTGGATTACGATCGGTTCTATGCGACAAGTGACCACACACACCCAGCCCCAGGTCCGCTCACTCCCTCCCCACATCACCCCCGCCCCACACCACACTCCAGCCCGCCTCATCCACCGAGCCGAGCCAAATAGACAGGCCTGACCCTTACCCCCCCCCCCCTCCCCCCAGCCGGTGTAACGCAGCGCCCGGTCAAATCGCTCTACCAGGCGACCCGAGCCGGTGTCATACAGTGTGGGTAGGCTGTGCCGCTTCACTCTCGGGTCATGCGGCACAGCCTACCGGTACCAGGCGACTGCTGCCAATGCTGAGCCATAGGAACCCGGTGGATAAAGAGAAGCGGACCATCAACCCCGCGGACACCCCGCCGACTGCGGCCCACCAACGCCCAGCCGAAACCGGCCCGCGCCCCCGCAGTCTGCCAGACACACACCTGAAGAAAGTGACGAGCCGCGCGGTGGGGGCGCCAGCGCCGCTCGCCCAGTCGAGCAGGCGCACCAGCAGCGGTCCAAAGGTGGCCTCCGAGAGCCGCGGTACCACACACGTCACGGCCTCCAGCACGGCGGCCTCCACGCGGCGCGCGGTGGCCGGGTGTGCGCCGCCGGCCGCGCGGAACTCGAGCGCCCTGCTCGGCCACCGGACGCCACCGTCACAGTGACACAGCGACACAGCGACAGCTACACAGCGACAGCGACACAGCGACAGCGACACAGCGACAGCGACAACTACACAGCGACAGCTACACAGCGACACAGCGTCACAGCTACACGTCAGTGACACAGCGACAGCTACACAGCGACAGCGACACAGCGACAGCGACAACTACACAGCGACACAGCGACAGCTACACAGCGACACGACAGCGACACAGCGACACGACAGCGACACAAGACAACTACACAGCTACACAGCGACAACGACAGTGACAGCGACACAACGTCACAGCGACACAGCGACAGTGGCGACACAGCGACAGCTACACAGCGACAGTGGCGATACTATGACAGCTACACAGCGACAGTGGCGACAGCTACACAGCGACACAGCGACAGTGGCGATACAACGACAGCTACACAGCTACTCAGCGACAGCGACACAGCGACAAAACGACAGCGACAGCTACACAGGACAACTACACAGCTACACAGCGACAGCTGCACAGCGACAGTGGCGATACAACGATAACTACACAGCGACAGTGGCGATACAAGGACAGCGACACAGCTACACAGCGACACAGCGACAGCGACACAACGTCACAGCGAAAGCTACACAGCTACACAGCGACATCTACACAGCGACAGCTACACAGCGACAGCGACACAGCGACAGCGACAACTACACAGCGACAGCTACACAGCGACAGCGACAGCTACACAGCGACATGACCAGGCACGGTCACGTCAGCCTGCTCACTTAACACTGAGGAAACTTTTCCAAAGGGCGAAAATGGACAATGACTCGTCATTCAAGGGCGAAATTCAAGCATCATGTTCAAATTAATGATTAAGCAAAACGGCGAAATCGCATGCCACCGGTAGCGGCGGAATGTACGTTATACCATGAGCGGCCGGGAATATTGCCAGGCCTGAAGCGGCGGCACTGCTGTGGTGAGGGAGCGCCTGTGAGGTGGCGCCATTTACCGGACAGTGAGCGACTGCAGCGACGGCAGGGCGGCGCTCAGCTCCGCCACATCGGCCCATCGCGCCGCATCCGACAGCACAGCCATCAGAGCGGCCAGCGCGTCCGCCGCGCCGTCGGCCACCAGTCTGCCGAAGCACTGGTCCACGGCCGGCAGCAGCACCCGCAGTGGCACGCCGGTGGCCAGCCGCCGTCTGCCGGCCGGTCCAACACAGGTCAGCAGGCGCCCAGCCGGTGTCTGCCGCGCCGATTATGATTTATGGGCATGGACATTGGACAATGGACAGAAATAAAGTTGAATTGATGCAAAAGCACAAACTTATTACGAGGCACCTCTTCAACAAAACAAAGCATCACAGCATCACCGAAATAAACACACATACACACGCCAGGTCTCAGACGCAACCCCGCCGCCCCGACAGACCTTCTGTCCGTTACAGCTGGACCACACGCGCTCCGCCAGCCTGCGGCCTCCTCCCTAACTGTACGGCGGCCCGTCTGGCCAGACCGGGACGGTGCCGTTCCATGGCATATGCCGTCCCGGCCCCGGGGAGAGCTGTGGGATACCTCCCCGGGCCGGGGAGATCTAGTGGATACCTCCCTGGCGCTCCAGACGGGCCGCGAGTAGAGCAAACGACAAACAAACAAACACGCTAGAGTGCAATAAACCGTGTATGCGACTGAATGGGGACTATGATAACATATTAACAGTGAAATACGTTCAAGTACTTCATAAGTTATTGAGGATAAAACAGCCGCGCATCAATTTCGGGACACCGTGTACTGTACTGTAGGGTGTCCTGGCCCGCAGTCCGTACCGTGTCTGGCTGAGCCGGTGTGACAGTCAGGCGGAGCCGTGCGCCGTACCGTACCGTGTCTGGCTGAGCCGGTGTGACAGGACGCCGGCGCCGTCGGTGCCGTGCGCGGCCGACAGCCGGCTGACGTGCGCCACCAGATCGGCCACGTACGGAGAGATGAAGTGGGCCAGCGCCTCGGTCAGCTTCAGCGTCAGCGTCACGGCCGACAGCAGCAGCAGCTGGTCGCTGGCGAGCGAACACCCAGTCAGGTCGCGGCCAGCCACACCCAAACTCTGCGCAGCATCACAAACGCACACTCACATCATAGCTGTATGTACATTATCGGCTTCAGGAATCAGCCAAATTGCCGATGCCTTTTGGGTCAAATCTTCAAAAATAGAATTTCGCACGCATATTTCCAGGGGCTAATACAAAATTATGGGGGGGGGGGTACCGCATTATATGGGGGAGATGCATAATAAAACAATTATAATATGTCGATTTATCGAAGCGCCGGCGGATACCGAGGGGTGCCGTTGGCTCCCGTAGGGGAGGTTATCTCATTCACTGATCTGCGCAGCTTAAATCAAAGCTTGTCAAACAGCTGTTAAGTTCTCAGGCGAGGAAAACAACAAAATTCCGTTTCCTTCAGGTCTTAACCCTCGCATGTGTGCGGCGTTTACCAGCGTCTAGCGCGTAGGGGGGGGGCGGTTGTACCCCCTGCCGTTCGGCCCCTGATTGAGTTAGAGCCTCGCGAAAAAACGAGCGTGCTGCCCGTGACAGGAGGAAACCGATGATACCCAATTTTAAGGTCCTAAGTCATTGGCTGACCTTCCAGGTCAGGTCAACGACTCAAAAGTCGGGAAAATCGGGACCTGCTATAACTTCGTAAAGGGAAGCTGTTACGGGGTTTTTCGGGGCGCTGATCACGTATTTCATGTTATTTTTTATCACAGATTTTATCATATATATATATATATATATATATATATATATATATATATATATATATATATATATATATATATATATATATATATATATATATATAATTGCGCCTGAATGGCGCCGCGTAGAGACGTGAAATTTGGCATGCCAAATCTGTGGGCGTGGGGGGCCTTGGTATTAAAATTTGGGCGTAATCTGGCCAGGGGTGCGCCGTCGGCACGTGCTAAAGGGTGCTGTGTGCTGTCATAGGGTTAACCCGCGCCCCACTGGGGTCTGCGTATAACACGCCCTACTGGGGGGGGGGCTATTCATAGCCCCCCCCCCCTCCTAACTCCGAAACTACAGGGCCGATCGTCAAAATTCAAACGGCGTCTGATAGCCCCGGAAAAACTGTCGAACAAAACCTAAATCCATTGACCTCGAGGTCACCGATGACGTCACAGGTCAGGTCAAAGTAAAAATTATTAGCATTTTGGCTTGTTCACGTTTTGGGCTCTGGCCGCCGTCTTACAAGTCATATCCGGCTAATTGTTGGTTCACACACTCGGGAACAGATGCTCTAGTTACCCTGAGGGTACCAAACTTGTACTTTGATTTTCAGGTCAAGGTCAGGTCATCACAGGTCACGAAAATATTATATCATGCGTCGGTCACGTGACACATGTTTTATGGTCCATTTAGGTCAGAGATTTCGAATTTGATGTCGTCTGTGTCATTCGAGGTCATTTTGAGTCGAATTTAGCTTAGGTCACTTTCAGGTAAAAAAAGATCAAATTTTGAAGTTGAAATTTGTCAACAAGAAAGGTGTCTATTGGATGCAGTTTGAGCTCAGGAACACGATGGTGCTATTTATATTGGCGTACGATGTCAAATACGTGCTGAAAAACTGATTTGAAAAATTAATAATTGTGAATTTTTTTTTGGAATAGGTAATGCGTAAAACTTGGCCATTTTTGAAGATATTTAGCTAAAACTTGCTAGAGTTAGTCATAATAATGCGTTCTATCACATATATTCCGGTTTTTTTTCGAAAAGTCTAAAACTTTTTGAAAAATGTAAAAATATAAAATTTGGATTTTATTATATTAAATTTTCCAAATTTTCAGAATTTCGAAAATCCGAGATAGCAGTTTGATAGCGCAATCTATTCTGAGTCCTCTCATGCAAAGAAATTGGATCTAGCTTAAAAACTGAGCTCTTGGGAGCGATTGCCGTGGTTCAATGTTTTGCGTCGAAATCGGCCGAACATGACGTCACTCTGACGTCATTTCCGGCCGACCTATAGTAGTTGCGAAGTTCAAATTTTGACACAAGGTGTCAAATTGATGCAGCCTAAGGTACTGAAAGTTTGGCGTCGATACGTCAAGCGGTTTGGAAGTTATTGCAGAAAAACGGGAGGGGGGCTATAAATAGCCCCCCCCCCCCCCCAGTGGGGCGCGGGTTAACACGAGGCCGGCGAAAATCGCGATCGGGCGAAAATCGGGCCTGCAGCGCTCCTTTCCCTAGCTTCTAACTCGGCGATGGGTGGTCGCAGCGAGATGGGGTTGCCACCAATGGATAGAGGAGAGATGGAACTAGCGGGGGCATTCCACGATAGATCGACCAAAAAAAGATTAAATTTACACCCTCATGCTTTATTTTTTTGCTTAAAATTGGTCTAAAGGGTTGTGATGGGCGGGGAACCCAGCCGTGGCAAGGATTTTTTTCTTCGAGCAACGGTTTCCGAGATATAGCCTCCGGCAATTCCTGGAGGTCACGCTGCAACCCTATGTTTGGCGGCTTATAACTCAGAAACTATTGGTTTTCTATGATAAAAACTTTATATGTTTCAACTCGCAATCAACCAACGAACATTTTGGCTATCTCGGATTTTCAATTTTTGAAAATTTTGATCACGTGACCTGTTGACCTATTTTTCGAAGAGTGACCTTGATATTTTCCCAACTGAAAGTTACAATTTTGTCTGATGACGAGTAAAACGTTATCAATTTTCATTCATATGCGATAATAAAAAGTGGCTTTCGCCCTGCGTTGACCTCAGGTCAGGTCATATTTATGACCTGCCCATTATTACGAGCAGGAGCGACAGCGAGATCTCGAGAACAAAGCAAGATAGCGACAAGCGGTAAACGGCACAGGGTACACACGGATAAGTTCTACAATTTTTATTCAGGTCACGTGCAATACGTGAAAAATCACGTGAAAATGACTCAAGCATACGACCGTGTTTTGTTAACGTTACAGGTATTTTTCGACAAAATCCGATCGATGGCTTATGGCCGTCAGGTCATTCCACTTTTCACAATAGCTATCAAAGCATGGGCTGCAATGCACCGCCCGCAAAGGGGAATTCCAAACACTGAAAATAAGCGACTACCAGTAAACAGCACATTATTGTACATACTAGGAATAACTCACCTACTACTGGGCCGATTGCGCTGAAACTTGGACTGTGGGTGGAGGGGGCACTTACCTAGCGATGTATGGTCATTTGTGACAGGTAGGGTGGATCGATTGCACGTGCGCACGTGAGGGGTCCACTTATACATCTCAAGAACGGCTGGGCCGATTTCGCTCAAATTTTGTTCACTGTTGGGGACAATTTAGAAAGGTGGCTGGCACAAGTCATATGGAGTCTCAGCGCGTGCGCAAGTGCAGTGGACCAGTTTTATATCTTAACCCTCGCATGTGTGCGGCGTTTTCCAGCTTCTAATGTGTAGGGGGGGGGGGTCGGTTGGACCCCCCCCTTGCCGTTTGGCCCCTGATCGAGCTAGAGCTTCGCGGAAAAAACGAGCATGTTGCCCGTGACGAGAGGAAGCCGATGATACCCAATTTTAAGGTCCTAGGTCATTGGTTGACCTTCCAGGTCAGGTCCATGACCCAAGGTCGGGAAAATCGGGACCTGTTAGAAAGTCGTAAAGTGTGGCTGCTAAGGGGTTTTTCGGGGTGCTGATCACGAATATCGTGTTAGTCTTGATCACAGATGATGTCTTTAAGCATTTAGACCAGGTCGGGTCAGGTCAGGTCAGGTCAACCAGTAGGCGTCGTGACGGGTATTAGTATTACGTGTCAACCGCCTCTGACAGCTTCGTAACATGTTACGAAGTCACCAAAACTACTTTGTAAATGTTCAAATGGTTGCTAAATTCGAATTCAGCTCCAAAAACTAGCCTAAAAACATGTAAAACTCGAAAAAGTGAACCGAGGTCACCAAAGGTCAATGACCTGACCTGACCTTCAGGTGACCTTGACACCCACCCTAATGCATGGGAGCAACATCAAATCACATGTTTGAACGTTTGAAACCACGAAAAGCTTGCAAACGCGCGGCTAATGCGAGCCGACATACGCGGAATCGCGATTCCGGCCAAACATGGTCTCGGAAAAGAGGTCACAGGTCAAAGGTCATTGGGGTCAGGGTCATGAAATTTTCAGGGTAGGTGTAAAATTGATCAATGCGAGGGTACTGAAAGTTTCGTCGCGATCGGCCGCTTTTTACGCGAGTTATTCGCGAAAAACCATGGGGGGGGGGTCCATCCGACCCCCCCCTACACATGCGAGGGTTAAGAATGGCCGGGCCGATTGCGCTCAAATTTGGTACGTTACTTAAATCGAGTATAAGATGGGTAACTATGTGTAGGTTATTAGTAAGGTAGGGTAGGGAAGGGTGGGTTTGAGTTCGATAAAGGCAAACCATGAGAAAGGCTCTAACAACCCGCAACCAGCACCAGCATACCATGCCGTTCAAACAAATATCCAACTAAGACAAAATAAGACAAATAAAAATCACAAGTTCTCACACCCAAACTAATGCCCCCTCAAACGCATCTATCAAAACGTACAGTTATCGCGCCAACATGGCCATCTAGTACGTTTTAGTTTGCAACTGAAAAAATCGTAGCCCAGGCAAAAACATCATACAATACATAAAAGAGTTATGACATCTAAGGTCATTAGAGCAAAAGCGACAGTATGGCAACCATATAAAGACACTGAAAATAATCGGCGCCGAGAATGGCATAGGGGCAGCTGAGCGCCTGAGCGGTGCCTGCCTGACCCACCTGAGCCGGTCAGAGTCTGAGAGCGCGGCCAGCAGCACGGCGGCCACGGCCGGCAGCCGGCCGACGGCGTGCGCGCGCAGCCCGGCCACCAGCTCGGCCAGGCAGAGCAGCACCGAGGCCAGCAGCGGCGCCGGCAGCTGGCCGCCGGCCGCCAGCGAGCACACGGCGCCGAGCACCTGCGGCACACGGAGCTCCCGTCAGACCCGCCACCGTCCGAGCTGACACACAAGCACCCGGTCACCGCTTCCAGAGAACACAAATCTACAGGATGTCTCAAAAGTTCGTTGACACATTTTCAATGCCAATAAAGCATAGAAGAACAAGCCAAAAATATAAGGTTTTGATGCTTATGTGTACACTAGACAAATGCACGTGCTTTGACAACGAATTCGGAATGTTTGAAACCAAACCCTTTGCTGTAGCTCCAAAAATATTTTCCGATACCGATTTTCGTCGCTCCGTCAGCTGCCAGAGGCTGATAAAAGGTGGCCTGCTTTCAAGCTCTTGCAGGGAAATCCCTTGCAGTTTCTGCGTCGGATTTAGGTTTAACGAGCTTCCCGGCCACATTTGCTTCTCCCTGAAAGCCGACAGCTTGCATCGACACCATTCATGAGTGTTTTGTAGGTATTCTCTGACTGACGCCAATTCCTTCACGAAGGCTAGCGCCAACATCCAAAGCACCATTTCCCTTTTCAAAACCACCCCATTCCTGAACAAACCGGAATTGCCAGGGGTAAATTTTTTTTTGCATAATATCGTAGCAGAATGTGTTGGCCATCTGTTTCTGAGACACACCGTTCAAATTTTGCAAATTCCAAACACTCAACAAGTCAACATTCCTCATGCCAAAACATTCGCTGGGTTGCGGAGTGTTTTCCTCAAGAGAGCTTTTGCTTTGTAAACGGCCCAAGCCTGTCTACCAGACATGTGCTTGGATCCGAGAGCTGGATCTATGATCTCAGTGGATCTCTCGACAAAATAGAGGGGTTGGATCTATGATCCGAGTGGATCTCTCGACAAAATTCAGGGGTTGGATCTATGATCCGAATGGATCTCTCGACAAAATTTAGGGGTCGGATCTATGATCTCTGTGGATCCAGCGGGCAAAAATTTGTGGAGGACCTATGATCTGTATGGATCTCACGACAACATGTAGCCAATGAAACCCTTATCCTACATAATTGTACACCTTACAGTGCAATACAATTGAGGATTATCACTTGTGGACATGGTTATTGGTTAAGACCACTTGTAATCATTAGGTATCATCATTAAATTTGAATTTAAATAAACAACATTTGTACTACATTTAAAATAATCCAAGAACATGCATATTGCTACTTTTTGTGACCAATTGTAACTTTTTCACAACATTACAGCACTGATGACAATCTTATCAACAAGCTACAGCCACTTAAATTCAATGAACAAACAGTACAGACAGATGCAGTGGCAGCAGGGCACTGCAGATTTTCATTTTGGTCCCATTCTTTCCATGCAACGCCAGTAGGGCTAATGGTAAAATGCCAAAATCTATGGGGGGCACTGTACCCTGGTGCCACCCCCCCCCCTGTTCTGCCGCCTATGGACAGATGTTAGGAAATCAAACCTGGAAGCCAAATAGGTCAGTTTTGTTAAAAATAATCCAGCAATCCACTTCTGCCAGGTATGAAATCCCAATCCAGAATGTTCGTATGAGCTATTAGTATGTGCAACACAATTTCGATTTAGTAAGAATAGCAACCAGCCTCTAATACTTTCCTAATAAAATTACAAGTTCAAAAATGGCATCAACTTCTTCAGATTACCTACTTTTGGCACCGTGCCACGTGGATTGGTGCCATGCTGTGTTTTTGTTATGAAGAGCCTCCCAAAAAAAGACAAACGAAATTCACAGCTCACGTTTTGGTAATATGGTTTTATTACGTCATTATCGTTTGACCAATGAAAAATCTTAATTTGACCAAAACCGTAATGATTCCAAAAATTCCCCGTAATAGACCCTTTAAACTAATGACGTAAGATATTGTTTTTCTTTTGAAAAGTGAATAAAATGAAGATGCAAGGCGCACACCATTCAAGGCCATGTAAAACCATTTCAGCTTACGTTTACGTCATTAAATTCAACGCTACAAAGATGATATTCACAAACAATCGTATCGTAAAATTATGTGAGGCAGATAAAATAAACATTCTTTAAAGAAAAACTCCAGACTTTTGAATTTCCAGTTTGATTTTTCATTTATTTTCATTATACTCGAAGGTAGAACGCCTAGCTCATTTGTTATTTGAAATGACGTCACGAGTTCCATTTAGATACTGAATAATCATTTTACGGTAAATATCCAAGGCCATTACAATTGATATTTCGCTTCCCATCGCTTCCCCGCAGGCTGTTGAATATTTTTATACTTTTGTTTATATCCCAGTTTATTTTATCAAATATTTCTTTCGATAGATTGAAATACCTTAACCTAACCAAGCCACATGTGTCAGTATCATCTTTTATTGTTTATCAATCAATTGTGGTAGCTGGAAACTGGAAAGCCTCATGGTTGTCTAATGCAGGATTGTCTTATCAATATCAATATCATTATGCAGATTCTAACATGAATTGTGATGTGGTAGGTACCTAGTTATGTATTGTTCATTAGTCATTACTTTGACTTAGAGGTGTCTCAACGAGTTTCGACGGCTTCGACTATTTACTTTGACTTACCTCTATGTCAATGTTAATTGTTAATGCAAACTTTTCTGTTGGTATGTGAACTGTGAACAATCTTCATGTCACTCAATTCTCTCAAGTTGTGACCGTCATGAGCCTCCTTTATTTTGTATTCTGTATAATGTAACTGGATGCCTTTACTAATATGGCCTTTGTATAAGATTGTTTGTTTCTAACCATACTTTGGTATTCATAACTTCTTATGAAAGAAAGTTGTTAACATTTTGAGCACCTATGAGCTATGATCCCAATGGATCTCACAACAAAATTGGGGAGCCAGATCTATGATCCGAGTGGATCTAGCGACAAAATTGAAGGGTCAGATCTATGATCCCAGTAGATCTCTCGACAAAATTGAGGGGTTGGATCTATGATCTGAATGGATCTCGGATCGGCATCCATGGGATCGGATCTCAGATCCATTTTTCCGGATCCAAGCACATGTCTGCTGTCTACCATGTGGTTTTGTCGGGTTTTCGTGTCTGAAAGAAAGCTATTCGCTCCAGATCTGCCTCATGAAACTTCCTAGGATCAAACTTTACATTTATTTACCTTTTTTGGGGGCCAAGTGTCTTTGAAATTAACGATTTTCGTGTTATTTTCTCAAAAATTTTGGCATTTTAGATATTATGAAGAATTTTAAACGATGCTTTGTCTTTATTTTACGATGACCTGCTATTTTTGATACTGGGTAGCTTTTACTTGTGAGCTTCTTGCCAGTTCTCAATAACTATAACCGCATTTTCAGCTGCTTTTTGGCACACGAGCCTAGCTGACGTACGGGGGTCGATCAAAACGCTGTTAGTCTCGGATGGTTTCGCCCCTCAAAAATTTTTGCCATGATTTTTTAAATGATCATCATGTGGTACCCATACTGGCCGACATTTTGCAATGTGTCCGCTCTGACTTAAAGGGACACTCCCACCTTAACATTAGTTTTGAGTTGAGATAGCCAAATTGGTGGCCATGGCCTGCAAATACCGGTTTGGGCACTCACAACATCGAAAAATGCTTTAATTCGAAGATATGGAATTTCAAACTTGCAGTTTTCGGATTCTAAGGGGCTAATGCATTGGAATGCCCCCTTAGAATTTGTGACGTCAGCGGAGATCTAACGATTTTTAAATCTTAGACTAAAACCATCGTTAACACGTGGTGGTATACGCTGCTTTGCGCGCAACGTCTGCCGCATTTTAAGGCTGCCAAATTATTGCTTCCAAATAAAGTCGCTAGTAACAGGGGAGATCCCAAAAAGTAAACTAAAGTAAAAGCCTAATATCTTGAAAACCAGTGAATATTTTTCGGTGAAATTTGGTAGATATTCGTTTTCGCTCTTTCTGAACCAAGGGACATCACTTCCATGCCAATTCATTAACTTTTTTGAAGGTGGGAGGGTCCCTTTAAACATTCCCATTACTCATGAAACAGAGCGTTTCACAACAGACCCGATTTTGCGACATCCATTTTTATGCCTGACCCATGGTCAGAGGTGAACCCTTTTTGTGAGCTCATGAAGGGTCGAATGCATTTGAAAACAATGACACTGCTTAAGGACGGTCTTTAGCAATGCCCATGCAAAATTTCGACATTGAACTTCTTGTTGATTCGGAATTATTGACGAAAAAGCATGGCTGGTACCTGTCAACGAACTTTTGAGACACCCTGTATTACAAAGGCATGAGACATTCTGCCTAAAAACAAAGATAAACAAAATCTATTGAGTGAAAAAAGCAGGGGCAGTTATCAAACGAGTTATCACAAAATACAAAGGAGATACAGCTACTGACATTTACAAAGCTGTGCTATAACAGGCTAAAGCCAAAGAGGTGGTCACTATGCTCGGATTTTTTAAGCCTGTCGGATCGCTTTAGTGCATAAATAAATACACAAGAGAAGCAACACGAAGTGGAACAATATAAACCAAGAGTAAGATGATATTTTCAGCGCATGATACTGATAAGTGATGTCAATTTCAGAAATTTTGGAAACCGATACTAAACCGATACCGACCAAAACCATTGAGAGTATTCCGAAAGCAAACCGATTTTCAAAAATAGGGGAAAATAACGAATATATGCCTACCGAATTCAGGGAATTATTACCAGTAAAACACCTTTTGGGCGCCCCCTGCACGTCCAGGCGGCTGCTGAGATATGAGCCTCTGAAAATCACTACTTTTGCAAAGCAGCTTGAACACCCTTGACTTTTCACGTGGCACGTGCCGCGACGGTCACTGAGATGTGTCAAAAGTAGTCAATTACGGGGTAGAAGGGATGGGGCTACCCAGCAAAAAGACCGCAGGCCAATCGGTCCGGCGGTTACTGAGATATAAGCCTCTCAAAAGCGTTACAGGCCGGGCCGGACCGGCCTGTAACGCTTTTGAGAAGCTTATATCTCAGCAACCGCTGGACCGATTGGCCTGCAGTCTTTTTTGCTAGGTAACGCCATCCC